GTGCACCAGCCAGACCCAGCTCGACGCGTGTGCTGGACTGGCTGTCGAGTGTTGAGCTGAATGCTGTGCTGTGCTGCGCTGCGCTGTGCAGGCTGCCATGGGCGCGCTGTGCGACCTGATCAAGGCGGCCAACGTGTACCTGGCCAAGCGGCAGGACGCGGCGGGTGCGCGGCAGCTGCCGGGCAGCCAGCCAGGCTCCCGCCTGGCCCCCCGTACAGAGCTGTCTGGGCCCACATCTGTGCTCATGCCTCCCTACCCTGATCTCCCTCCTTCTGGCCTCCCATTCGCCCCCCCGCAGGCCCCATCCCCCAGCCCTTCCTGCTGCGCAGCGCCGCCGCCTACGTCACCCGCATCCTGTCCGTCTTTGGGCTGGCCGCCGCGCCCGGCGACTTCCTGGGCTTTGCCGACGCGGCGGCGGGCGCGGCCTGCGGCGGCACGGAAGCAGTGCTGGACGCCTTCAGCGCGTTTAGGTGGGCGGGGCGGGCGGGGTGGGCGCGGGAGCAACCGCATGAGGGCAGCAGATGGCGGTGTGGGGCGCTTTGGCACTCTTCCGCGCTGCGATGGCCCCGAATCCTCAGCGCCGGTTTCCCTGGCCTCCCTGCCTGCCAACCCTGCCTGCGCCTGCCTGTGCCTACCTGCCTGCCCGCAGGGACAAGGTGCGGGGCATGGCCAAAGCCAAAGCGCCCGCGGCAGAGCTGCAGGCCGCCTGCCGCGGCGTGCCGGATGGCGAGACAGCCAAGGCGGGCAGCAGCGGGCGGGCGGCAGACATGCTGGCAGCCTTTGCGGCGTTCCAGCGGGACATTGCGGCGCTAGCGGCGGCCGGCGCGCCACCTGGGAAGGTCCTGGCAGCCTGCGACAGGTGCGGTGCGGGGTGGCGGCCACGCCTGGCCTCGCATGCTGCCGCCGCTGCGACGCAGGCCGGCAGCCCCGCCACGCGACGCATGCCTGGATGGCAGGGGTGGCTGGGGCAGGCCCTGCCTGTTGGCGCACCGCGGGCTGCTCGCCACGCCTGCCTGCTGCTCCCAGCTGCCGTGCTGCTGTGGCCCCACCTCTCTGCCCTTCGCCACACACACCCACACCCGCACAGACACGCACTTGCCGCACGCCTCCCCTGTCCCGCAGCGTGCGTGACGACACGCTGGTGGAGCTGGGAATCCGGCTGGAGGACAGGCCCGACGGCAGCAGCGTGTGGAAGCCCGAGGAGCCCGCGGTGCTGCGGGGGGAGCAGGAGGAGCGCCGGCGCGTGGCGGCCGAGGCGCGCGGCAAGAAGCTGCGCTCTCAGCTGGACGCCAAGCGCAAGGTGGGGCCCTGCGGGGGGGCCTAGACGGCTCCTGAAGTGGCTGGGCTGTGTGGGTTATGACACGGGCTGGGAGGGTGGGCAGGCTGCACACCAGCGCTTGCTGCCCCACGCGCACGCCAGCAGTCCCCCGCACGCGCTCGCCCCCACCGTGCCGCCCTGCCGCCCACTACAGGAGCTGGAGAAGTTTGAGAAGCTGGCGGCGCTGCCCAGCGTGCAGCAAGCGCTGGCTGACAAGTTCTCGCGGTGGGACGCAGGTGCAGGGCGGCGCCGCCTGACAGGTGGCCGCCCATGGCCCTCCACGTCGCCCCTCCCTGCTCCCTCCCTCCCTCCCTGCCTGCCTGCCCCGCCCCTGCCTTCCTGCCTCTGGGCTGCCCCTGTTCTGACCCTGCCTGCCTGCCTGCCTGCCTGCCTGCCTGCCTGCCTGCCTGCCCGGGTGGTGCAGCCAGCGGGGAGCCCACCCACGACAAGGAGGGCGCTGCCCTGGAGGGCAAGGCGCTGGACAAGGCGCGCAAGGAGGTGGAGAAGCAGCGCAAGGTGCGCGCGCTGTGCTGTGTGTGCGCGGCTGGCAGCGCCGCGGTGGGTTTGTGGTGCATGGGAGCGGGGAGGGGCAGGGGGGCCCAGGGAGGGGTCGCAGCATGGCCCGCCTTGCTGCGCTCGCGCCTACCGCGCCCGGTCCCTGCCCGACCCCTGCCCTACCTCGCCCTCCTCCTCGCCGCGCCCTCCCCCCTCCTCCTGCCCAGGTGCGCGCCCCGCTGGAGAAGAAGCTGGCTGAGGAGCCCGGGTTCATGGCTGGGCTGGCGGCTGACGTGGCGGCGCTGGGCGCTGAGCTGGCGGCGCTGGGCGCGGCCGAGAACGGCGGCACGGCCTGAGGCCCCACCGAGCGGAGCAAGGCCGCCGAGCACTCAGAGCTGCCTTGAACTCAACTCAACACACACTGCACTTGCGCACTGACCGCACTGGACAGCGTTTACCTGTGTTGCCCCTTGCGGGGCAAGAACTTGAGCAGGCCGAGGCCGTGTATTGTCGTTGCCAGGCCGCCGAGCAGTGAGGCATGGTTCAGGAGGAAGGGGGGATGGCCCCAGTACCTTGCTAGTGTACCCCGGCGCTGCTTTATTCTCTGCGCGCGCTGTTCCTCTGCTCCCACCCCCTGTTTTGTCAGCCTGCATCATCTCTGGTCAAAGTAGAGAGTGGCTTACACTGCGAGATGGTGTGTGCGCGCAGTTACGGCAATATAAGGCAAGCCGCGGCGTGAGTCAAGGAAATTGATATGAGCATGATGACAATAAAATCGTTGAGGAGCGTTGGGGAGAGTCTGAGAGAGGCGGGGAGGCACGCCACGCGCCCGCATGGGTACGTATTGCTGCGGCTGCGTGCAAGGCAGGAGGTGCGGTGCTGGCACCATCAAGTGCCCAATTTCCAATCTCCAAATCAGTGCTGCCTACCTAGGGACGGGGAAACAAACAGCGAAACGAGAACAGAGAGGATGGGAAGGGTATACAGAGTTGGAAAAAAGCGGGTCTAGTGTGACTGGGGGGCCGGCCGGCCATGCGCCGGCCGCCCGCCGGCCGTGCAGCGGAGGCTTCAAGGCATTGAGAAACGTGTTAATATCAAGCAGCACCAGACACGGGCGCCGTGTGTGCGGGGGCGCAGCCATGCGTCCAGCCCCCACGCCACAGGCAGAGAAGGGAGTGAATGGGTGGGTGCGGGCGCGCGAACAGGCGAGGCCTCGCCAACGGAGGCCTTTGCCGCCCACACGCCGCCGTCGTGTGCTCCGGGGGCGCGCCGACAGGCGGCGCGCCGCGACCTCACTCCGCATCGCCGTTGACCGAGGGCGAGAGGCTGCTGGGGAAGCGGGTGCTGCGGGGCGTGCTGGGCGCACTGCCGCCGTCTGCCGCTAGCTGCTGCTGCAGGAGGCCTGTGGCCAGCATGACCACATCCACAGCCACCTTGACGTTCAGCGGGGCGCCCCAGATGCTGCGCCAGGGAAGGAGGGGGGGCAGGCGGGCGGGGAGAGCGGTGAGCACACCAGCGGGGGAGGAACCAGGGACTCCAGTCGCGCAGCGGCCTCGCCGCCCGGCCCTCCCTGCCTGCCTGCGCACTCCTCGCTGTCGTCGGCACGGCGCGACCTGCCCGCAGGCCGCCCCTGCCCAGGAGCAACACCCGCCGAGCCCGCGGCGCCCTCTGCCCACCTGACGAAGCGGCTGCCGGGCTTGTTGGAGTTGTCAGCCACGCCCATCTTGCAGCGCAGCACCTCCTGCAGGTTTTTGATGTGGGAGCCGTTGGGGCCCAGCAGCGCGCCCACGCGCCGCTCAGGGATCTCGATGATGCGGAAGCACACACTGGACAGCTCCCGGATGACTGCAGGGGGACAGGAGAGGGGGGCAGGACAAGAGGAGAGAGGCAGGGTGAGCAGAGGGAAGGGCGGCGGGAGCAGAGGGAGGGGCGGCGGGAGCAGGGGAGCAGGCCTGCCCGCGAGGTCGCAAGCGCTGGTAGCGCGCTGGCGCTCCGCGACTGCTGCTGCCCCACACACGCCAGCCGCATTGCTAGCCAGCCGTGCGCCCGGCTGTGCCCCATGCCCCTGGCTCGCCGCAGCGGGCCGCCGGCTGCGGGTAGGCAACCCACCCCACACCCGCCCACGCCGTCCACTCACTTGCTTCGTACTTCTCCTCCTGGCAGATGAGGTCCACCACCTCGGCCACCGCCGCCGAGATCTCCTCCGACCCGGGGGCCAGGTAATTGACGAGGCGGAAGGGCACAAAGGCTGCGTTGGGCGACTTGCCCTCCACCACCACGCTGCAGCCGGTGCGCTCGCTGAGGGCCTTGATGGCCTCGCCGCCGGGGCCCATCACCTTGCCCGCGCACATGGCGGGGATGACTTGCTGGATGAAGAGCTTGTCGGCGGCAAACGACTTGGTGCGCAGCTTGTCGATCGCGCCCTCCCCGGCAATCGCGTCCAGCACCATGCCAATCGTCCCCGCCAGCTGCTCCTTGTTCTCCACAGCCACAATCATCATGCGCTCCCTGGGGGAGTTGGTGGCAGTGCCGGGGCGCGTGAACTGCACGTACGCGCCCGTCTCGCGCTTGATGGCGGCCACGGTGGCGCCGCCGCGGCCCAGCACCGCCCCCACCACGCTGGCCGGCAGCAGGAACTTGAACTGCAGGCCGACGTCGTTGATGCTGCGCGCCTCGCGCTCCGAGTCGCTGCGGGGAGGGCACGCGGGAGAGGGCGAAGAGGGACTCAGCGAGCAGGGACTTGGCAAGCGATGCAGCTGCCGCATGGCCGGGACATGCCGGAGGGCGTGGCGCCCGCCACCAGGGGCGCCGGGCACCACACATCTGGGCCCGGGCTGCGCTCCAAGGGTGCTGTGAACTCACACGGAGGGCGCGGTGGCCACCACGGGC